TGTTTCCGTCCTCAGGTGAAGAGGCAGACACTTACTCTGTTGGGTCCCTTAGAAAGAGTGACTGAGGTTAGCTCTTTCTAAGGAACCCAACAGAGTAAGTGTCTGCCTCTTCACCTGAGGACGGAAACAAATCCAGTTTCCGTAACGTTATTTTTTTCTATTTTTCTAGAATACCGGACGATGGACAAAGTAAAAAAACCGTAGTTCTGAGTATTATACACCATCGTCAGAACCATTTAGAATCTAGAAGGAAGATGTCATATATTTTGCAAATTTTTGTCACATCTGAAGAATAAGAATCCCAATGGACTAACTGGGAATCGATGTTCTCTACGGGGTCCGTGCGACAGCTATGTGACGCAACAATAGAAGAGCTGTTGGGTGGGGTTTTTCTGTGCCACCCGTGCCGAGGTGTTATAAGTAGGACAAGTCTAGTGTTTAGTTAGTTATGAGAGAGTCGCCGGCCAGTAAGGATGTCAATATGGAAGTCGAGGGATCTACGGCGTTGGAAGTTGTTAACAGACAAAGACTGCTGAAGACGCAGCAGACTAAGAAGACTTAGTGCGTGCTGTAATGAACTGCTGATTGTGGGAATTAGCGACAGTGTTATAGTTACTTGTAGTTAAAATCTGTAATTGTTCAATAAATCCAATTACCATTCCAAACCCCGTCTACATTCACTGTATCAAATACAGTTATTTTATAATTAATTTTCTCCTCATAAATGTATTGAAGATTTCCGTTCCAATCACATCTTAACTTTATTTTTTCAGGTAAGCTGAGCCACATTCTTCACTTCTGAAGTAAATACCATTATGTATAGACTCCTATTCGCATTGCAGTTTTTGGTAAGTCATCTTCCACGATAAAAACAGTTTTTAAAACTAACATAAAACTCTTAGCTTAAAAGAAACTATTTTTTTAAAAAGGGATCTCTTATTTAATGCAGCAATAAAACTGAACATGCTTCGTGTTTAAATACATGTTCCAAGTGGTAACTGCAGACGTCTCTGCAATTAATTAATTTTTTAAAATAATTGGCAAAAAGGAAAAAAGAAATGCTGGTAATGTACACAGATCACCTAGTACTGACGTAATAATGAAATCCAGGAGAGTACGATTCGCTGGAGAAGTACAAGTCAAAGCGAAACAGTCATTTAGTAAAGGAAAATGAGCATGAAATTTCTCAGTGACTCTAATGACCTCGGAAGGGTTAGACCCCATTTTATTCATAAAGCAAGTAAATTAAGAAGAGTCGGGATAGCTCAGTCGGTATCGTGACAGGCTGCACGTCCTGGTTTCAGTTCCCGGTAAGGAAAGATATTTCTCTTCTCTACAGAGGCTTGACCGACTCCGGGGCTCACCCAGCCTCCTTCCAACGAGTACCGGGGGCAATATCCCTGGGGCGTGAATCTGACCGCTCACATTCATCTAGTGCCAAGGTCAAGAAGAGTGGCGCTATACCTCCACTCCCCTTTACTTCTTCATGGCGTGATGCTTACTTAATTACGCATAGGGACATCTTTACCTTTTTACGTTTACAGAAGTAGCGTAAGTTAAGGCCTTGTAGACATTACATTCATTTTCTAATACATGATTTGTCGTTCTAATGCGAACGAAGATTCATATTGTATTCTAACGGGCTATGATATCGTGAAGTCCAGTAGATAAGTATCAACGTTTCAGATCCTTCATCTGTATGGTAGAAGTGAAGATGGAAGCAAGAAATTCCTCCGAAACTTTTCTATCCCCTACCGGATATCATGAACTAGAAGACTGCATGCCATACGACTCAATTCTACAGTGTGATAGAATATAAAATCCTTCAGCGTTGGTAAGGGCTTTATCCCACTTTTTGTATCCTGAATCCTACCCACTTTATGTTAAGTCCTGTCGGATTATCCCCTCTACCAGTGATATTTTTGCATTTGTGTCGCATATTATAAAATCATCACGTAGCTCCTCTTAACTTAGTTCCAGACGCAAAGCAATGGTTCCCGAACTCCTGACATGCATTCAAAATTTATAGAAGCATTTGCCCCTACCCCATAGAAAGATGGAGACCACAAGTTGCTCCGAATCTCTGGTGAATATGGCTCCACCAAGCACGCCTTTAAATGTTCTGTGTCGTGTAGAATCCCGTCACAGAGCGGTCAGAAAGTGCACAAGGCTTAGACATTTGGGCCCCGATACTGGTACCCATTGCGAAACGGTGCAGCGCTTCGCCAAGGCACCACGATACGGCCTCAGAGCACTACGTTTATTGGCACCAATAGAAAGCCAGTATGAGACCGCCCCAAACAGCATAATAAAACAATGAGATCAACTACACAGTTTATGCTCCAGATATTTTAAGGATTCACACATGTCAAATGTGAAGATTTCTTTTAATAAGGAATACCACCTAATGATGGTCTTGTAAGACCGAAATACGTCAGGATCTCTGCAACATACACTTTATTCTAGCAATAAACAGGATATACTTGGATGCTAACTAGCATTTAATTGTTTAGATAAACTAAGGACACTTCATTTACACGGCTGCTGCTGTCCTAATGGGGATTATGTACTCTGATGCAGTTGTGTGGCGGGAGTGTATATCTATACTACGCGAGAGCTGATGTTTCCAAGTAGGTAGAAAGTAAGATTAAACTCTTCTTGGTTAAGACACTTGAGGACTGGTGGGAAGCTACCAATGTTTCGAAGAACATGTTGCATTTTTCTTTACCTTTACCCTGATGATGGAAGCAGCAGGGTCCTCCGAAATATTAGCAGCCACCTAAGAAACTATCTGGTGATGAGTCTAGAAACAGAGGAGCGCGGAAACCATTCAATCCGGTACGCCACAATCTCTAAATCTACAGATCCATCCATCCACCTATCTCCCTCCCTCCCTCCCTACCTACCTACCCACCTACCTACCCACCCACCTACCCACAAACCTACCCATGGCTCTACAGTACTTTTGCTGGAACTTGGCGGCTTTTTTATTTTCATAATCTTAGAGAGTCTGTAGGACTCCTTGAAAGGGGGATCAGCCCGTCGCAAGGCCCCTACCTATACACAGAATAAATGCACACAAACACCCATTGCTAGAGCGGGAATCGAACTCACGACCCGAGCTTTCGAGTTAGCGAAGACACTTCATGCCTTAGATGGCGCGTCCGTTGTGATCTGCTATCTTAAGGACCTACCTAATAAATTCTGACTTTCTCACAGAGGTACACAAAACTACAACAAAACACATCCACAACGAAACTGCCCGTCATGGATGCCTACCTTTGAGTTAAATATGTCCGTCCTGAGAGATTGGAAATCAACGTAAATTTGCTGCAGACCTAACAGGCTCAAACGCTGTGCTTAGGAAATGGTAGGAAGAAGCAAACGTTTAACAAGGACAATCGGCTCAATAATTACTCGTCTCTATTATTACAAGCTTATTCAGCTGTATTTATTTGAATCTGTCTGAGCAGTTCCTACCAGAACATAGAGGATTAATTTTTAAGTTGCTAAGTAAGGACAATCTCTGCATCAAGATTATGTACGTAACGTCGGATGATGAATGAGTGTAAAGCGGTTCGTGGATTGAGAACTCACTGGCGAAACCGAGGCGCTCGGAGTTGGCTTATCCTAATGCCACTTTGTCCATCATAAATCCGGTTGACTACCTTACCGCTATCTGTGAGCCGGTTGTCTAGATCAAGTGTCTCCAAACTACGGCCCGCGATGTGATTTTATCCGGCCCGCGAAAGAATTGTGCAGAAATGCGCCAATCGAACTAATTTTCCAATGAGTACTGGTAAAAAATACTTGTTCATAGATTTCAAATTCATTAATTAAGATTATGTTTAAAATATATTGATATTCCATACTATGTTAATATTAATATTATTCAGAGTCACTTTTTTCAGATACCGAGTGGCTTTGGAAATTAGCACTTTTTGCTGATCTGGTGAACCATATGAACAATTTGGATTTAAAGTTGCAGGGTGAAAATAACTTAGTCTGTGATTTATTTGCACTTATCAAGGCATTCAGAGCAAAGTTGATACTTCTGGAAAGCCAAGTGAAAAATTGTAACTTTGTTCATATGCTATACTGTGCAGAGCTGCATAAAAAGGGTGAAGCAGAATTTCCTTCCTCGTTTGCAAATTTAGTCATTTCAGATTTGAAAGAACAATTTCGGAAGCGATTTGCTGATTTGGATTCCAGTGCTCAGGAAATTAGATTGTTTCAAAATCCGTTTGACTGTGATGCTGCAGATGTCCCAAGTCAAATTCAAATGGAAATTATTGAACTTAAGGAAAATTATCATATTAAAGACAAATACAAGGAAGGAAATTTGATCGAATTTTATAAATTTCTGAACTTTGAGCAATTTCCAAATTTAAAGAAATTTGCTTGTAAATTTATCTCCATTTTTGGGACTATATATCTGTGTGAACAAACTTTTCCCAGATGAAGTACATCAAGTCGAAATACAGGGCAAATTTATCCGATGAACATTTCAAGTCGCTACTTGTGATTGGCGTTTTTCAAAATTTGAACCTCAATTTAATCAGATTTTAAGAATGCAAAAAGAGTTCCATCATTCATATTAATTGTTCTATTATAATTTGTGATGAAAATATGAGCATTTGCTGCCACAGTCTGTTGTCATTAATATACGACAATTTATTCCCACGTAATTTGTATTTAGTTTATGAAATTCTGTGCTTTCAATAAAATTCATATACCTGGAGTTATTAAGTTTTCATTTTATCCGGCCCGTTGAAAGTGCTGAATTACATAATGTGGCCCCCGTTTCGAAAAGTTTGGAGAACCCTGGTCTAGATAACGTGGGAGCCTCAACATCTCACAACCCTATAGGCCTCCATGGCCTCTTACAGGGATAGCTTTACCTTCTTTTTTTTAATAGGAACACATAGTGTACAGATTAAAATTCGGATTGTGATTTGATTCGTAAATACACAAGGCACTTACTGCTTATTGTTTTGTACCTGTGTTAGGTGGAAATCTGTCAGGAACGGAAAGGCACGGAGTTCCAATACGATTATGTCAGAGGCAGATTTCGGTAGACCTTGAAGTTGGGAATATGCATGAGGCGTCAGAGATGGCAGCGTATTTCTGTAACCATAAACGTGTACAGCTAATGAGAGGTATGTTGCTGGCACATGAGCAGACGATGTTAAAATTGCCTTCAGCTACGATGCAGATCCTCTCAAACAATATTTACACATTTCCCTTACACCCACAAGTTTACCCTCTACAGCTGTATACACGTGTTAGGTACGATAGCGGGAATCGATTAGTCTCGCCCATTCTTGGTTTTATGCAAATGACTTTCTCTCTGAAACCGCTGCCAAGGAAATAAGAACGTGACACAGTGGAACTGCAGTTGGCCGATTAATCAGCTACTATAATTTTTGACTTATTCTTTTAAAGGCACTGTCCACGCATTCTCCGGATGAGACTAACAAAATCCAAGAATATTTTCTTATGTTAGAGGTTGTGCGTGACTTATAAGGCGGTTCTGGATTGGATGATTGGATTTATTGCATCTTTTGCATTCACAACTCGGAACTACAGCGCTATCGCTGATTCACACACTTTACAGTACACCGTTACACTCGCAATAAGATTCTCAGTATTCACTAGTCGTATCCTGGCAACAGATTTCTAACCGTCTCACTCTAACTTAAAATCACACATGAAATCTTCTTTACACAATATAATTAATTTCTTGCCATTTCTTTTCAATCACCTTCGACTGCCTCTCCATAACTCGACCCACTTCTCGACAACTAACTCAAACGACTCTTTGTTCGTTTATAACGCCTTAGCATGAACAATACAGAAAACAGAATCTCTGTTGTTGAAAAGGCTTGTTTACTGACCCGTTGCTTAGCAATTGACGTCCTATTGTTGTGCGCATACGCTTCCGTGGGAAAGTGTTTACCGAGTCGTTGCCTAGAAATGGGTCTGTATGTCACTTGACTTATTCTTTTAAAGGCACTACCCATTCATTCTCCTGATAAGACAGAGAAAGACCAAGATTATCGTCGTCAAGAGAGTTATTCATTTGCCTGAGAAGCGAATCAGGTAACTTACAATTACAAGTTTCAAGCATTACTGCTAGACCACGCAGCTCGTTAATGCCACGAACTTCATTACCTAGTTTTTAGGCATACATAAGATATTAAGTGTACATTTAAGCATCCTGTTACACTCTACACAATGTATGACACAAACTCCATCCTAAGTGCAACAATTTATTGTAATACTTTTGTCTTCTCTTCTTCTACACTACATGTTTCGGCCGTAAATGGCCATCATCAGGTGTATTTCTCTCATGTAGCTGTTACACTGCACGTAGTTTAAAATTTTAAAACACCAGCTTTTNCCAGCTTTCTTAATTGTTCATTTCTCCGTTGTTAATAGGTCCCGATATATCAGAATCCCCTTGCTGATATTTGTCAGATATGTATAAAATCTTTGTTAATTTACATACGTCAATTTGATTTTTGAATTTTGGTATTTTTCAAATCTTCAATTTAAATTTAAACACAGGGAGCCTGCACAGAATAATACCCGAACGGTGCTGAAAGCAAGAAGTAGCCGCTGCAGCACTGTAGACCTAGAGCAGGTATCCCTGTGAATTTTAAATTTTAAAAATTTAAAAATACAAAAATTCAAAAATCAAATTGACTTATGTAAATTAACAAAGATTTTATACATATCTGACAAATATCAGCAAGGGGATTCTGATATGTCGGGACCTATTAACAACACAGAAATTAACATTTAAGAAACCTGGTGTTTTTAAATTTTAAACTACGTGCAGTGTAACAGCTACGTGAGAGAAATACACCTGATGATGGCCATTTACGGCCGAAACATGTAGTGTAGAAGAAAAGAAGACAAAAGAACTACAATAAATTGTTGCACTTAGGACGGAGTTTGTGTCATACATACATACATACAAGTGCTCCGACCGACTGTTCGTCTGTAGTATGAAAAAACTTGAGACCCTCCGAACATAGTTTCATGAATTAAATATTGGAATATTTAATTAATACCTGTCTACGTATTTCAATTTTGGTTAAAATCCTAAAATTTCGACTTCGACCTTAAAGATGGAGGTATCTTCTTCCGAAATGTTGGTATTCACCTATATGAATGCTTGGTGCCACAATTCAGAAGACAACAATATGAGTTCTACTTGTAAAAGGTAAAAAGTGAAGTTGTCACTGTGCTTAACTAATTGAGCACTACGCCATGAAGACGTATGGGTGAAGAATTTTTTCTTCTCCATGTCGTCCAGACCGGTTCTTGGGTTCACCCAACCTATGCAACGGGTACCTGGGGCTCTTTCCTAGGGGGTAAAGTGGCCGGGGCGTGAAACTGACTACTCTCCTCCAGCTAGTGCCGAGGTCAATAAAATGTAGATCTATACATCCATTCCTCCATACGCCTTCATGGCGTAGTCCTGAATTAGTTAAGATCAGGGACTTTTATCTTTTATATTCTGTTTATCAATATTTCCTTTCGTACTGCTATATATCTCACCGTGCCTGTTCGAGTTTCCCATTGCCACAACTGCAAATGGAACCTCTGCTTATACATGTCTTCTCATGCTATTTGCAAAGCCATATGTCTTGTCGTTCCTGCTACTCACCCAGCCGCAGTATTGTGTTCAGTAAATTGGTTGTTCATTTCCTCTCGCTTCCATTGTACCCTCTCACACTGAATCGACCTCTGAGCTCCGATGTATCCTATCTGGAATCCTAATGTAGAAATAATCCTTTACATGAATGCGAAATGTACTTAGCCATTTCCGCAGAGCGACAGAATTTTTCTTCCTGCGGCTATTGTACTGATCTTCATTTCAGTGGCGGTTGGATATTCTTTCTTTCGTAACATTGCTGTTCAGATAACTGCACGTGACACAGGCAGAACGTATTATCGCAGCTTTGGAGGGAATGCGAGTATATGGCTATTACAGTGTTGGCAGAATTCCACGCTATCGCCCCATCATGACCTCATACTCTGTTCCAAGAAGCGAAAACCTGAATACGTGAATGCGATTTAATGGAGTGGAAGTTGCGTAAATGTTTCTCTAATGTGAAGCTGGTTACAATAATAACAACATAAACGGTTTTTAAGGTAGGAGGAAACAACGCACATAAAATTAAATAGGGATAAATTTTTTTTGTAACTCCAATGTTCAGCACATTAAGTGGCAAAACACTGATCACTCTATCCTGTCCTAGTTTCCTGTATGCACAAACAAGAAGCATTTCAGTTGCTAGGGAAGGTAAAATGGGTTGTTATTATGCTGTTTTATGACGCCATAACAAACTCTGAGTTTATGTGGTAGTTACTAAGCTAATTCTGAATGAAGATAAAAGTGACAGTTATCTTCAATTGTTTCGAGCTGTTGTGCCAGAAATTCCGTAGCGGAACTGATGAAAATGACAAGAAATCTCTGCTGTACCAGTTCGCTCGATAGCAACGGTGTCCTGAAATCAGTTATTGATTCATAATGCGTTTAACGAGACTCCTTTAACTGTAGAGTGTTGAATTAATTTTGAAGATGATCACTAAGTGTGAATTACGAACAGGCGGCCGTAACCAGTTGGAAGATATTGTCACGGAATTAGTCTGGGTGGACTGAGGAAAACCATGAAAATCCCGTCAGGGTGATAACCTGGATGAGATTAAATCCGGAGGTCTGCCGAACAAAATTCGAGAGCGTCATTACGTAACTGCTCTGGACTGTACTTTCCGACATACTTTACCATACAGGAACAAAATGAATGTATCGAAATATCGCGACATGAAGTCAATATTAATTCTTTATTGCTAGTTCAGTTCGTAAAATATTTTCTTTGCTTTCCTTTGGTGTAAGTTTTTTCCTCTCTCTTTATTTCTATATTGCGGACATATTTTCACACTTACACGTTTTATTCTTTTGATTCCATTTTCATTTGAGCATTTTATTTTTATTTATCGAGAAAGCTATGACAGAGGACAAATGTAAAACTGTCACCCTCAGACTTCACTTGTGATTAGTACTCAGTCATGAACAGTTTCATAAAGAATTTAGATTTGTTTTTTCGACCATGTTCACGCAAAAACTGAAGATGATCTGTTTCGTTTCACAATTATTATATTTTATTCATATTTCTTGGATGTTCACCTGGATTTATGAACTTCTTAATTTTTGTCCATATAGGAAAAACAGCTGAAGTGGTGAGTCTGGAACGGTGTCCACTCAGTCTCGTGATGATAATTGAGGAGCTATCTGAAGGAAATAGCGGCTCCGGTCTAGAAAACCGAAATTAGCGGCCTTGGGGATTCCTTGCGCTGACCACGCGACACCCTCTATCCGCAAAAAGTTGACACTAAAACTTCGCAGACAGGCGGCGGTCGCTCTGTCGGTATGGTTCGCTTGCGGACTAAAATCACGGAGTTCTATAGGAAAAACAGCGCATCACAATTTTCTGGTCATTGTTACCAATGACGCACCAAGCGGTTTGGCACTGCAGGAACACACCGTAGTCACATCCGGGAAGTATATGGTTCGGATTCCTGGCGGAAAAATTATCATTACTGAAGATGTTTATGGTTTTACTTAGGCCCAAAAACTTCCTCCTTAATCTCCATAGATTCAGCATTCACAGTTGAGATGAGCAGGGTAGAAATAACACATGTGAAATGTGAAAAGTACAAGCAGAATTTTAGTCCAAAAATATGAAGGAAAGAGGCCCATTTTTTATATTAAAGAAATAGGATGTGATTGTGAGGACTGGCCGTCTGACTTAGGACCGCTTAGGACAGAGTCCTGTAGATGGCTGCTTTAAATAGGGCAATCAACTTTCCGGTTCCATAAAACGAGGGTAATTTCTTGGCGCCGCTCACGGAAGTCTAGCGTTTTAAGACGTGTAATGTTTTCGCTGGCTCGGAAGCCTGGATCGTGAGTTCGAACCCCACACAAGGCATGGATGTTTTCTGTGTGTTTTTGTTTATTCTGTGTTTGTCTTGTCCCGTGTTTAGGTAGAGGCCTTGCGACGAGCTGGTCACCCGTTGAAGGTGTCCTCCCCCCTGTCATATGATCAAAATGA